GCTCTCCACTCTCTCTTCCCCCAGTCTGTCTGTATATGCAGGGTTGCCCCAAACCATGCTCTTCCCTTCGTAAAACTTCATAAGATGCAGAAAACCTGGGCTGGAAAGGATTTTGATCTGAACATAATTGCACCAAGCACTTACTGTCAGGAGGAGGACTTCTCACAGTTCATAAGTTAGTTTTGATTTTGAAGAAAGGCATGAGTCACTCCAAGAGAAGGAAAACATCTTATCTCCTCCCCCTGAAAGGGCAGTTCCAGATTGTTTGGAGGTTTGAGCTGCAGCAAAACTCTACCGGCCTAGGTATGACTGTATTTGAACCCAGATACAGGGACAAAGAAATGTACCTCAGAGCCTTCCTGGAGTAAAAGGTATGTGATTTTTAGCTTTCTTGGGTTTAGGGTCCATATATTTTTATATTATTGAAACTGGGTTTTTTAACCTTATGGATTTGGAGTAGGAACTGAGGGGAAAAAGGATGAGGAAAAAAAAGAAATTAATTAAAGAAGGAGAGAAAAAATAAAGACAGAAAGAAAGAAAGAAAGAAAACAAAAAAAAGCTGAATAACAAACCTACATCCCATAATTTCACAAAGTAACAGACGCAAATATAAGAGTCACTACTTGTAGCTACAGTAAGGTTGTCTAAAAGTACCGAATCACAAGGGGTTCTCACAGAGGCACATCCATTCCACCAGAGCACAGGTATGACTGTGCTCCAGGGTAGAGACTGCAGCTATGTTACGATTTACTGACAAAATGACTGGGTATATAGTAAATATCAAAGCATTATGTACTGTTAAAATCTGTAGCTTTAGTGTTGATGGGGTCATAAAGGAAATTCACTAGTGACCACTAAGAGTGAAATTCCCTTTCCAATTTAGTTGCATTATCCCAGGATATCTTTTGAATTTTAGTAGGCAAATTGCTTTCTTCTCCTTCTTTAATAGTTAATGTCACAATAAATTGCACCCACAACTGAGAAGCATGTGTAGTGCAGAATATGCTCTAGTTACCATATTGATCACAAAAAAAAGAAGTGAGGGATCTCCAACCTATGGGTCAAGCTTGTTGCTGTGTGAACCAAATTTAGTTTGTGCTGGCAATGATTGCTCCTGAAAGAATGAGGAGGTGTCCTCTGATGGTAAGTTAATTTGATCTTTAGTGAGGGTGTGGTGGTTCTGGAAAGACAAAACAGTATAAATCTTGGTGGGTTTTGTCCAGACAGGTTACCCCTTGACAGCTCAAACTGTTTAACAACTTGGAGTAATGACAAAAGTCCTTTTTCCCACTCAGAATATCTCTGTTGTGTCTCTTTAAAAGCAGTTGAGTTGAATAGTAATGATCTCTTTAGTCTGCCAGGGCCAGTTTGCCCTTGATATTTCTCAGGTGAATCTCAACATCTACTTAATGAAGTACTTGCTGCACTGCTGCTGCTGCTTTCCCCACTTTTTTTCTTTTTTTTGGTGGGGCGGAGATCTCCTGCAATTAGAGTTGCCCTCCACTAGTGGAAGACTCTCTGAATCTGAGTTATGAATTGCAAAAAATTCAGCACAGCAGTACTTAAAGGTGCAGTGTTGACATTCAGTTGCCTGCAGTAAACCATAAGCCACGTCTGTCTCTTTGGCTCTTTCACTGAACCAAATATGAGAATTGGAAGGGGGATGTGAGTGAGTGATCATACTTCTTTTCTCCAAATTTGTCACCACCTAATCAATGCCCAAAATGGCAGCTGCTTGCATTGTGGCTTTTGGGTCTGCAGTATTGGGTACCAGTGCTGATACAGTGGGGCCAAATCAATTAGAATTTCAGAAGTTCCACCTTGAGCCACAACAAAAGTCTGGCACTGTGGTACACCAGCAATCCTTGAATCAGGGAGTTCAGGCATCATGTGATGTGAGCACACAGCTGTCTCTGGGTTTCTTTTAAGGTTAGAGGTAATGTTCAAGACACAGACTTGCCGTCCAGCAGATGACAGATCTGATAGTTGAGAACATTGAAACACAAAAGGTTTGCAATATGGACTTCAAATGCAAAGTGAGTAGCTTCTCACCCAGGAGCTGTGAATTAATCTTAGCAGCTTGGCAGATAACATTTGCTCCGTTTACTCCAGTCTTTGCCATCTGGGTCGTACACCCATTTCCTTGGCATCCAATAGTGTCAATATCAAATGTCCTCCTGTATGTATTAGAAATTTAATTGACTACTGATGAGAACTAACTAGAATTAGAACTATTATGTATGCATTGATAGGATACCACTCACTGGTTTTCAATATCTCCTCATTTATGGCCATAATTCCCTTGCAAATCAGCCACCTGAATTGGATTGAATGGTGTCATTTTTTTTTGCGTGATTTCCTACTTCATTTCAAGGTATAGTAGATCCAGGGGGAGGTGAAGGACATAAAGAATCATCATTCCCTAGTTCTCTGTTGTCTGGATCACCCATATGCCCATCCTGTGGAAGCCTGCTATACTTTTCCTGCAACTCTGATATCTTTGATATTTTTGATATTCCGTATTCTGTGTTTTCAGTTTTAATTGGGGGTTGTAATGTTGCTTCCTCATCATCAGACCACTGTGCAAATGTTACATCTTGCTTTTTGTCAAGTTAATAGACCTCTTTACAGTTTTCCAACTCCTCAATTGGATACAAAAAGTTACAGTTACAAGAGGGTGTTTCTGCAAACGGTTCAGACTCTAAACCCCGCAATTCTTCAAGATTCTCCCTCCTCCCACATCCTCAAGCTTCTCCTGAGGCTGCAACAGGCAATGTCTCTGCCTGCAACATGTTCTCCCTCTCATGACTGTGCTCATCAGCAAGCAGGTCCTATGCCTGTAGCCTCTTTTCTTTTTCTTGATTGTTCCCAGCAAGAAGCAACTCTTTCTCCCAAAGGTGGCTTTCTCTCTCCTCATTTAAATGATCCTGCAATCCTTTCCGCAAATCCTGCAGAGGTCCAATCATTTCCCCCTCTGCCCATTTGTTGGCATGTGTCTTCTTTTGGGCAGTGATTTAAAAGCACTCCCAAAATTGCTCATAAAACTGCGTTACTTTTCCCCTGTCATAACTTTTGTTCACTTAACACTACATTTACCCATTTAACCATATCCTTAGGGTTACACAAATTTTCATTTCCCCATTCCATGCACAAGGGAGTCAGGCAGGCGTTGCATCCTCTCAACTTTTCCGAATTCAGGAAGCTGACAATACCCTTACCCAGACCAAGGACCCTAAAGAGAATATTACTCTCATCTGTTGATGTTACTCAGGAGAAGAAAAAAAAAAAAAAAAAAAAGAAGCCCAAACCTACCTTGAACAATACTCACTAATAAAATCCCCAAAACAAACAAAGCCAGGTAACAGGTAGTTGGCAACAGGTAACTGGCACATATAAAACCAATTGTGATTCCATGTATTTTGCCTGGTTGTTTTAGTTGGGTTCCAGCTTCAGTAAATAGACTTCATAGTTGAGCAACAGTTGGCAAAAAGTTTATTTTCCCTGTGAACAGGTCACTGCTGATCATATTACAATCCTCATAAATCTATAGTTTTCATGTTAATAGAATCATGCAATCAAAGATTCATAGGATCACAGAATGGTTTGGGTTGAAAGTTACTGTCAAAGATAATCTATTTCAATCCCCCTGCCGTGGGCAGGATACATTTCACTAGATCAAGTTGTCCAAAGCCCATCCAACATGGCCTTAAATACTTCCATTGATTGGGTACCCACAACTTCTTTGAGCTACCTATTCCAGTGTCTCATCACCCTCTCAAAACTATTTCATTTTTACATCCAGTATAACCTTTTTAGTTACAAACCATTGCCACCACTCTTGTCACTACAGAC